TCACATCCCAGAGGATAAAATTTATGGTTTCGAGGGCGGCACCCGTCCATGCCCGGATAGTCGGAAGTGGAGAGACCGAGTTTTCACTAAAGGTTCTGGATAGGAACGCATTGAAGCTATCAGCGATCAACTTAGCGTCAAATATGTGGTTTCCTAAGGCGTCTTGATGTATGGGGTGCTGCGTTTTTATCTGCGCTTTGACTGTGCGCGAAAAGAGTTTCGCGACATTTAGCGATGGGTTTTCAGCAAAGTTGACCTCATCCGCTATCTGCTTTCCTTCGGAGAGCTTCTTAGCCTGCTTAAAGATCGGTTGGATAAATGGCAGAACAGAATTGTCTTTCTGTTGATGCAAACGACGTGAGAGTTTACACAGCCTATGGCGGAAAGACAGAGGAAGGTACACTTCATCCCTGACATGCATTATTTTCTTACGGTGGACCAAACGGGAGATGAGAGGATCCAACACTTTGTATAGTGTATCAGTACATTCATTCACACCCAAGCACTGCAAAAAGTCAGACCAGTCGAGGGAATTAAGATGTGTCAGCAATTCCGCCGTATTTGCTGATCGGAAGTCATGGAAAAAGAACTATACTTTTGGAAATACTTTTTGTCCGCCCCCAGTTCTAGTGTACTAACAAATGTGAGATGGTCTGAACTCCCAAGTGCGTCTAAAGATGACAATGACTGTGATTCAAACCCTCTACAGAAAATTAGGTCCAGTTTGTTTGATCCTCGGGTGCGAAAATCGAATACCTGATCCCACATGCCGATATCTACAGTCTCAAGTAAGTTCTCAAACTTTGGAGGACCCGAGGATAGTAACCATTGCACTCCAGGAAGATTGAAGTCGCCTGCGGCATGAAATGCCTGCGAGAGACAAAAATCGTAGTCCACATTGTCATTGGGTGGGCGATACAAACAGCCAACGAGTAGGAAGTAGTTATTCTTTAGAACAACTCGGAGCCAGCAACTCCCCTCTACGGCCGTAAATTGTGGATATTCCAGCGACAAAAATGTAATTGGTTGCTTAACATGGTTGAAGCTTCCTCCGCTATGGCCATTATTACGATCATTCCGAATGCAAGCACAGCCTAGAATAGAGAGTTCGCAGTCAGCTACAGAGGGCGATGCCCATGTCTCTGTTACCATAACAATCTCCGAGCGGTTGACGAAAACCAGAGTCTGTGGCGGAGGCATCATATAAAGCAGAGATCTGGCATTTAAAACGAATAGTTTAGGGGGGCACGTCTTTGGTTTCTGCGACAGGTCAGCTAGGCCAATATTCCTTGTAGTATCTTCTAAAAGCGGTCTCGCATTGAGTGAGACTATACTGAGCGTAGCCATGAGATACAGTTTACGCTCGTCAGTATTTATGAAAAAGAAAAACTTGGTGCCGGAAAGGGAAACTGCAGGGGAGAAACATGAGTTAGAAAAAAATGGCCCTGGTCTGCAATTTGTCGAGTAGTTATTGTTAAATGAACTCTGACTATTGCAGATAGGCAGACTTGGGGGGGATCCATGGAAAAGAAGGCTAGCTTGTGGTATAGGAAAAATAAGAGGGGTCGAAAAATTGGATTTTGAGGCATTTTAGCAGAATTTGCCGGAAAATATGCATTTGAGTATGGCATGAATAATTTATAAAAACTGCTTACATTATTAACTGAATTAGTTATTTGGGGATTTTGGACAGTTTTTGATTTAGGAGAGGTGTTAACGTGCGGGTCTGAATCTGTTGTTTCATGCTGAAGTGTTAGCAGTAATGACATTACCGATTTTGACATCTGCCTTACATTTACCAAGGGTATTCTTAGGTCCACCCGATTTTACCGCTATCACAGGCGTGGTTGGCATAAAAGGGGAACGAATTGGCGTTGCCGCGGTTTCTCTCGAATCATTAGTAAGGTGAACGCGCGAAGATTCAGGTGACATTGCCGTTTTGCTCGTTTTATTAATCCTTGACTTAGTATTAACAGTAGTTTCAAGGTCCCAATCTGTAAAATATTCTATCGACATTGTGCTGCTAGTACTTTCTTCTAATTTACGGTTCTCCCTTTTGTCTAATTCATCATCCTTTTCGTCAGAAGTGCTACCGTGAGTGTTTGCATCTGTTGAAACTGCTGAAGTACTAGCAGATATGACATTTCTGAATTTGACAACTGACTTAGATTTACCAAGGATATTTTGAAGTCTTACAGCTATTACAGGCGCGGCCATTTTAGTAGGGGAACAACTTTGCGTTGCCACGAATTCACCCAAATCAGGAGTAAGTTGAACGATTGAAGATTCGAGTGAAATTTTCTTTGCTCCAGATGGATGTAGGCTTACGTCGGCGAGAGGGCCAACCTCAGAGACAATTTTTGCTATTGTTGACGTAGAGCTAGGATCCTCATTTGCTAACGTGGGTAAAACCCAACGTTCCATTGGAGCCTTCTCTCTACATAAAAAATTGCTTTGCTTTAAGTATTGAGCTGAAAGCTCATGCTGAGAGAGAATACCATCCACTTCTAACGCCGAAAAAATGTTGACGAGGATCAGCGGGTTTTTACTCCGCGATGACAATCTTTTAGCTTCTGCGACCTGAAAGTTAAAGCCACAAGAGTCAATAAACCGAAAGGCAACGTCTAGGGGTTGTTTACTTTTTGGAACATTTTTCAAACGAAAATTTAAATTTCTTTTCTGCTGGTCACAGGTCTCAGCAGACACCATATTGGTGAAAGGCTCTAGCTTCTCATCTTGCTGAGAAGCGCGTGAAGAAAGCTTTTAATCAAGGACCGTAAACAAACACCCATATTGGAAATAAAACCGATTAAAATTGTCCAAATCAAGCTTCTTCATGCTTAAGACGGGTTGATCCTTTGGATAGCTTACGCTAAGGGGTGATTTGCGTCTGAGTCGTGGCTGAGATGTGATATTGCATAAGAAATATCAGTATTTTTAATATCTATAAGGCAAAGACAAATTTGTCACAATTATGACGAGCGTCAATTAATTGACGTTTTGCGTAATAGCGTATGAACTATACGGTAGGAGTTATAAGAGTTATCAATACAAATAATTACCAACACAACTAATTACCAAAAAGTTAGCTAATACTTTTAGCAGGAGACGATGAAATCTGGTAAAAAATACATATATATTTCACTTGTCTTTTGAAGACAAGTTGCGCGCATCGACCTTGACCTTAACGCATTAGATACCGATCTTTTGCATAAGAATGATATAGTATTGCGCGCTACGATGCCACCTGACCGCTGTTATCCAGACGCTAGAAAATTGCAACTGGAATACTACTTGATATATTCTAGTAGCAATTGTTTTATAGTAGGGGCAACCGAAAATATTTCAGACCGATGGCCCATGGTGTCCGGAAAAGCAGAATTATCACACCATTTGCTACCTTCTAGTAGCATTTGTTTTGATAGACTATTTGTATCTGGAGTAGTGCGCCCTACAACCCTATCCGACCGCCTTCCTCCTGATGCCCGTAAACAATTACAAATATTCTGTCATGCTTAAACCATCGGTTGAGCTCTTATATAGTCATAATCAGGCAAAGGTCTTCGCGATCTTTCATGCCTTTATATAAGCAAACCACGAAAATCCCATCAGCGATCGTATTTGCCGAACCTTGTGGCCATAGACTACGCGGCTCTTAAACGCTCTCCCTTGGTTTCACACGCGGTGGACTGTCGACGATCAAATAGAGGGTTCAAATCACCCACCTATATTTTCCTCAAATGAACTGATACTGATAGTGAATGTGTAATTGGACACTTACTGCCCGTTTCGGAGCGACTGAGAAATTAATAGAGCAGACCACGTTCAGGTTTTCAGTTTTTCAGTTTATTTGGTGAGGATAATAGGCAATGCCTTTGAAAA